GGGACTCTCTTCACTCTCTTCTAAATAATTTCTTCTCATCTTGGATACATTTGCAGCATTGTCTGTGACCAAGCTGCCTACTAGACATTTGAATTTTTTTTCAGAGTTTGTTATAGCTTTTACTGCTACTTCTTGTAAGTATTCTGTTGTTTGTGCATTTCCTGATGAATCAATTGTTTCTGTAAGGAAGACATTCCCTTCTTCTGTTGTCATACAAGCACAAACAACAGGATCATTGTGGACATTGCTCCACCCATCAAGACTCAGGTTAACAATTTCACCCTCTAGACCTTTTGCACACTGCTCAATTTCTTTTTCAGACGCTTTATCTAGCAATTTGCCTGTGACATCTGCTTTGTTGGGTGGACTGTAGCCTGGTCTTAATGACTGAACTATGTTAATGAAGTGTGGGTTCTCAATCATATGGAAAGGAGAGTTTGTTGCATAAACAAACCGGGTAATTTTTTCATATATTACCTCTTTTTGTAAACTGCTAGTTCTCATCATAAACTTATCTATGGTTGTTTCCGGATGATGGAGATTTTGTTTCTTTTTACTGTGGCTATGACATATGCACGATGTGACTGAAACACTATCATTGGCAGATAACTCTGAAACAATAGAAAATGATGGTGGTCTTGAAGGTGGATAGTCTTCAGAATCCTGTATGTTGAGGATGGATTCTACTAAACAAAATAAGTCAATGCAGTTATTTAATTATTATTACCATACTGCTCATTTAGTATTACTCATTGCATTCACTGATACTCACTACTACTTTAAAGATGAAATTGTAAAAGGAAGTTCTGCTTATTTCAGCTATTTATTTTTTATCACAACTGCATCTAAAATGATCGTACCATAGAGTAACAATTATATTTTTTGCTCAATCATGAGAATTCAAGAATAGTCCAGAAGGAAGACAGGCAGTCCTTAAGAAAGAAGTATGAAATAAAAAAGTTTACCAACCTGAAGATCCTGCATGTTCAGACTTGTTCCTTTCATCATCATCTTCAACACAGCTTCCTCCTGAGAAGAAACACTTCTCATGATGTTGTTTTATTCGGGCAACCAGGCCTTGCATTTCTTTGTTGCACTGTTTGCATTTTGCATGCATCCCTGTCTTACCCACAGGTAGAGGTACTTCATTAAAATATTCCCAAACTGGGTCTCTTTTAGGGCCTGCTGCCATTATAGGTTTTCCCTTCTAGTGAGAGAATGGATGGTAGATCTCAAATCACTGAAGGTTGCACTCAGAAAGACCTCAAGACTTCTGGAATATGCTGCTCAAACAGTTTTACTTTTGTTTCTACTGACTGTCCCTCTCTTTTCACATTTATCTCCAGACTTCTTTTCCTTGTCCAGATTTATTCTGCCCCCAACAATCTTGTGCTCATTGAACTTTTTGAAACTTTGCACTTTTAGAGAGAGGTAAAGGACTGACTCTGTGTAAACAAATTTGCAGAGGGACAATAGGGTTGAGGTCTGTTATTTCGCACCTCTCTCTCTCTCTATATATATATATTTATTTATTTAAAAAACATTTTTGCTGTTAAGCATGTTATCTCTGGAGACACAAATCCACAGTTTGAGAACTGCAAAACTAAGCATCTCTGATGGTATCTTCTAGACTAAGCACTGAGTCCCATTGGATAAATAGAAAGATTAACTTAAATAATCTATACAGAAGCCCCTGAAACTCCGTAAAATTGGGTCCCTAATCCATGAACTATTGGAACTCATTTACAAAACTTTTCTTAAACATGACATTAATATATTGTCTCATACTATAGAATTAGAATTTATAATCCCTATTCCATGATGAGATAGTTTTAATTAAGATACATTATAGCTCAAAGTTACCTTTGGGTAGGTTTTTCCATCAAAAAGCATATAATCAAAAATATCCAATTGAAATAAAAAAATCCTTTTTTTTTTTTTAATCCATTGATTTTATCCACCCTGGTTTACCGACCTTACATGGGCAGGGTTCACATAGCAGCACAACAGAGAGCTTAACGGGGAGGCAGTGCTGCCTACAAGGGAAACTATGCCATGGATTTGCTAGAACTTTATCTGTGCCTTCTTAAGGGGCTGGGGAGGTTGGGCACTTTAATAAGTGGCTTCAGCTGTCAACTTGTGGGGCAATTAGTGTGAGAATCCCACTCCCATCAATTGCAGTTGCCTCCTATGTGCATTGCTGGAAATCCCCATTAGCTTCAGCATGTCAGTTCACATGCTTTAGTTTGTACCAAGTATAGAGCAGAAGAGCACAGTGCAAACCTCCCCGATGCATTTGATCTTAAAGCTGCAGCACCACTTATAGGCTCCCTGTTCAGCACCAGTAACCTGCCATGCACTCCTGATACTCCAATCCTGCATCTCTTTTGAATAGGGACTGCCAGGTGCACCTAATTTGATGATACCTTTTATGTGGACAAAGTATAGCATGGCTGCTCCCGGATTCCTCCCTCCTGGTGGGGTGGGGTGGGGTGTTGGATTGTTTTTCCCCAGATGTACTGGCTTGCATTTTCCCAAGTTGAATCTCATTTTTATTTTCTGTCCATAATTTTAACTAGAGGGTTGCAACTCTGTCTTCTCCCTTCTCCGCTGAACTGTTAAATCTTCTACTGGTTTTACTGACCCTACCTCAGGGCCTCCTCCACATGAGCCTAACTTGCTCCTGTGGAGTTCTTCCTTTGTTGCGTCTTGTCTTAGCATGCTTTCCTTCACTGCTTCCCTTTCCCAGGGACTCTGGCAGCTTTTCCTAGGGATCTCCTTGTACTTTGTAGGCCTTAGCTTAGGGCTGCTCCCACAGGAGTAGGGTTACCATATTTCCACAAGCAAAAAAGAGGACACTGGGCGGGGGGGGGGGAGCCCTGCTCTA